AAGGAAAACACTATCGGTAATCAGTTTCTTTTTAGTTTAGAAATTTTTTCAATCTTAATAAAAAAAATATCCTTTCAAATGAACTTGATCATGTTATTTTGTCTCAAAATCATCTATAAGTGCACACACAAGGTTATTCTTGATGAGATGTTACATACACATAACAAATTCTGTAAACTTATCTCCACTCGTTAGATAAGTATTTTAAGAAAATTATAATCTTAGCTGAAAATTTAAATCCCAAACATCATAAGGGAATCAAGTCTTATGTTGTTTTAAATTACGTTATCCAAACAAATCAGAATAAATAGCTGTTACAATTCTGGGATACGAACCAAGACTCTGTTAGAGATCTTAAAGGTTTTAAATCTGAAATTCTCTCGAGAAGTTGATATGCAAGCCTAAATCAATCTTTAGCTTGTTTATTGCTTAAGTTTCCAAACGAGAAATTTCAATCGCATATAAATGTTCTAGTGTTCTTTCTTTGATTTCAATCTTCAATTATTTTGATGAAAATGAACCTGACATCCTTGAGCGATGATCAACCTCCAAGCCGTTTGATTGCCCGTGTCTTGCCGAGTTCCTCGTCAGCTTCCTTAGTGGCCAGGTGAGGACGAATGCAGTTCCAGACATCACATCAAATATTTGGCTTGAGTAGTTGATCCAATTATGGATTTCTCAGGTGTCATGTCCATCCGAGTTTTCACTGTTGCTGCCGCAGGATCAAAATAACTCAACGTTGAAACGGATGTTCATTTTCTGGTGACGAATGTCTTTATTTGACTTAACGATTGTCAAAACAAAGTAACAGTGATGAACAGTGCCGTGAAAACTGTGAACATAAAAAGTATAAAATAGCACAGAATAATAAATACCGTGCGAAAGATACAAATATATGTACACAAGTAAATATACAGATTACTTGTCAATTTAAAGAGTTGATAAACCAGATAGATGTTCTTAACGAGAGTTGTTCATACAGATATGATTTGTCAGAATGAGTATAAAAAGGGTTCATGATAAAACATTTATGATATGAGCTACAAGTCTCTTACGAGAAATTTGATAAACATGCATTAAGAGCATACTAGTTAAGACTATGAATATAAAAGCAAGTTTTATATGCTACTGATTTACAGAGAATTCTTATTCATGAATAATTACTCAAACATGAAATATTCAAATGGCTTTCCATAATTTAGCGTTAGATGTAAACAATCTCACGTGTGTGGAAAACTAGCTCACTGAACGCTACTAATCACAACATGAAAAAACACTTATAATGTATCAAAATTACAAACTGATAGATCATGTAAGTAATATGAAATTGTTCTAAATACATTTCTGCCATAACATACCTCGTTGGCAGGACTTTTCCATCCTTGGGCAGCAAAATATACCTTGAAACTTTGGCGTTTCTTGAAGACCCCACAAAACACGTATTGCTTGGGCCAGGTCGTAATTCAGAAAAGCCAAGGGTCAACGCGTTCACCGAACTTATCGGCACACGGATATCAAATAATTTGTCCAACTGGAATTTTACTTAAAACGACCAACGATTTAGTTTTGACAGAATTTACTAATGTTATTCGCATTTCAATGAACATTACTTTACATTTCAGTACATAATTAATGATAATAACTTATTTCTTATGCTTGAATGTATGGAACTATTTTCTCGTGCGTACTAAAAATGTGTTTGTAGGCCTTTAATTGACATTGACCCGCGCTAGGCATGCGCTGTAAATCTTTCTTAAGTAACAAAGAGAAATTACTTAAAGGGCGATGCACATGTAAAATAGGTGGTGCTATGAACAAAAATTAAAAATACTAATGACAAATTCTGGCGGCAGCCACAATTACATTTTTATGTACTATTTTAAAATGAGAAATTTACGGACTTACTCTATATGAGTTATCCCATTATCGTCTCAGAACAATGAAATAGTACGTTCATGCACTCAAACTAGTAATGACATGACCCAGCGGCCGATATATTTTTGGGTCAACCTACCAAAACGTAGCCAATGTCCAATCAGAGCACTCGTTTCGTGGGAGTTCGTTGGTCAAGCCGGGCTGACTCGTACGTATGTACGGTAGCTATTGGACGTTCGAAAAGAAAAAATGAATATTCATCAACTAAAACCAAGATGGCTGACAACGAAGTTATCTGACTACGAGACTTTCTCGGATTAATCATTAATTTAGGATCTAAATGAGCAAGCTATAGATCGTAAGTCAAATAAGCTATATAGACCAATATGTTATTTTAAATTTTTTAATATAGATCTAGACTCTAATTATTGCAATATTGCAGCATTTATGAGGATGTAAAGAGTGAAAATCTTGTTGCATATCTCATTCATCTCGGTCCGGCCAAACCGAACCAATTGTTCCATACAGTCCCCATAGGACGAACTTCAGTCTCTATAATCGAAGGTCTAGTGGAGCCAGACGTAGTCTCAGTGGAACAACCGACGATATAGAGAGACTGAAGCTTTTGGTCTATGCCTTGTATTGCTTTTCTGGTGTGAGTGGAACCAGATGTAGTCTTGGTGAAAAAAGCGGCTGATTCAAAACCTTTTTTTGTCTTTGGCTGATCATCAACGAAACGGAGTTAAGTCTTTTGTCAATTCTGTTTGTTGCTTCGGCAGGCAGCCAGCAAGCCAGTGAAAGGGAATTTGTTTAATACAAATTTTATGGAAATGCAAGCATTTAAATAAACAGATCTTTGTTATTCCTAGCTCATCTTTACTGATTGAGGTGTCATATGAAAGGGAAAAAATGGACTTTCTAGAAATGTGATTTTCTCTTTGACATTCAGATACCGTCCGCCAAATGACTTTTTGGTACCGTTTCTTTAAATTTATTTTCATCACTCATGCATGAAATATGCATCAAATGAAAGAGGAGGATCTAAGCTTTACAAATATGTGTCATTTGTTAATTGTAATCGTGATTAAGTTATGATAATTCTTGGTTTTGTTTTTCTGGGCCGCACTGCACTGTAAACAAAATAATTTTTAACAAAAACATAATTTAACTGATAAAGCAATACCAAGTATTATTCATTTAGAAAGTTGCAGAAAAAGATGGGATATTAATTACATTAAGCTATTGCTTGATAGCGTGATAGCTCGGGGGAAAGGTAAGCCGGGGGGAGGGGGCATGTGGTGATCACCAAAAATTAAAACCAAAAACTGGTGTTGGGGATGATGTTGATGATGAAAATGAAAATGAAAATGAAAATACGCTGATGTAAATAACTCTGACACCAAAAATTATATAAGTATACAGGAGTTATAAAATATAGTGATGGATATTTTGTAGGAAATTGAAAATAATAATGAATATTAATTCAGCACTGGGAAAAGATCAAACGATGTACTCTGAAAGAAATACTTTCTTTGTATTGAATTTAAGGTTCTACATGATTTTATTGAGACTGGGAGATGCATCCCATAAGTGATTTTTTTTTGGCCATGATTTACACTACTGGAAAGAAAAAAACATACAAAAACCGTTGAAGCGTCGTCGAATTCGCACATATTTATACAACTTGTATGCATGAAATCTAGGTCTTGAATGCGAAGTGTGAGAAAACACCCCCACACTTACAATCCCCTTATCCTGTGGAGAAAGGGTGTATTAACATGAAACTTCAGAAAAAGTTAGATTAAATTATGTTGATATGCACCATGAAAAAAAAGGTCAGATTAGGGTTGTAAAAATGTCCAATGACAAGGAATTATAAGGAAGAAATTTTGGTAACTGATGTTCCATTCGTCGGTGCCCTGAGTAGAGGATGTGTATCATTAGAACCACTGAAGTGAGGAGGTCACATGAGTAGAAGGCATTATCTTGTTTAGCTTACCGAAGTGTGCCTTTAACACTGCAAAATTTCAGTTGACATCCAGCAGGCGTTTAAAAAAAACATTCTCCAGAGTAGGATTTCTTTTTTTTTTTTTTTTTTTTTTTTGGTGTCGAAATACCGGAATGTGAGAAAAATTGATGATTTTTGGTTACAGAGTAAATGCACTGAGCTAATGTTTAGGTTTCTACTAAGTACTATATACTAGTCTTATTCAACCCTCGTCTCCATTGATCTCTGCGAGAGCGAGTACTGAGAACAAGTCCAAGCTATTAATGTTCATGTGTCAAGTCAACTTGCTTTGCAACAAATTGGATTAGGCCTACTTCAATATCATACCTTATAATTGATAGGGTTTGAGATAATTGAAGAAAAAATGGACGGCATTGATTTTTTATCATAAACAGCCTATGTAACAGTGATAACAAAAATTCAACAAAAAAAAGTTAAATCAGGGTGAACTTAGTACATAAAAAGCATTCACTGATGCCAGCACGTACACAAAAGAAATTCACTCATGCGAAGCCAGAGAGATTAATGAGAATCCCTATACGGGGTACTCCAAATGAGTAATAGAAATACCCACCGAAAGGAGGAAAACAATTCAATGGGAATCCCTATAGGGGGTACTCCAAATGAGTAATAGAGATACCCCCAGAAAGGAGGGAAACAATTTGTCATTAGGGACTTTTAGATTTGCATGTTGACATAGTAGACTGCTACGTGTGACGTCCTTTTAAGGCACGGGCGGTATAAAAGGATGTCACAAGTAGCAGTCTACTATGTCAACGTGCAAATCTAAAAGTCCCTATTGGCTGGAGTAGCAGGACACCTTTGCACCACATAATTCCTATTTGTTTACAACATATAAAATTCCAATTTACAACATAATGAAGAATATAATAACTATTGGAAAAATTGCAGATAAAAAACTGGCAGTCAGATGTGAAGAAATTGATTAAGATTGTGACCAATAACCACAATAGCAGATACTTGATTACAACTGTGGCTGCAGCGAGGTCGATATCAAATAAACAAGTCTAAACAAAGGCTTCTACGGGAATCTGTAGCTTTAATGCAGTGGTCACAACCCACCGTACTTGCAAGTGCGTGCTGTCTACGTGCAAAAATGTGGACAAACTTTGTGTATCCGTACGTGGTGAGACCGCCTCCGAATGGATTCTGGAGTACACAGACACACCGTAGCACTTTAAGTTCACGAGGAACTTTCGCTGCGTTCGGGCTGCGGTCAGGCTACCGATTCACCCCCAGTGCATGTGACGTGCGTTGCCGGTACTCCCTCCCTGCCTTTGCCACTCCCTCCCTCCCTATGTTTTCAGAAAAACGTGACGGCAGTGGCCTCCCCAGAAACCGTACGGACTAAAAACATGCGCGGTGGGTTGTGACCAACGCTTTAATGATTTGAGTAACCGTTTCATTTTGTTTCATTCCGTTTCATTCCGTGAAAACTGTGGATAAATCACAGATAAAGAATCATGAATACAAGTACATCATAGCATCGTCAATATAGCAATAACACAGTCTGTTTGAGAAACTCATCTTCATAACCTGTTAACATAATCCCAGTCACTATTCTAGTCCATCTGCATTATGGCTTTACATAAAGACAAACTCACAATACAAGTGTCTTAACTAGACTTCACTGTAGCTTGTTTAAACAATGAACCACACAATACTAAATTCCAAATCTCTACTTAGTGCTTCAGCACTCTCATAATATATCTTCAAATTATTAGCAGTATCTTTACTGTTATCCTTGTTCTTAATATAAAATCAAATGTACACTAGAAATTTAAATCGTCATGGGGACGAATTAGGTGGTCTGTCTTCAATTTTATGATCATTGAAAAGTCAAAAAGAAAAAAAAATAAAGAAAAAAAAATTGTTGGAGACTCCCGGACTCGAACCAGGTATCTCGAGGTCCGAACTCAAGTGCATTACTGGTATACCAAAACATTTCCCATAGCGATTACAAGTAAACGGAAAATGGAATTCTCAAATCCCACGTTGCAAGTGAAATATGAGCATGATCCCGGCATCTGATCGAAAAATAAAGGTCACATTTGTGATAACTTGTTGTCTCAGCTACAACATACTCGAAGCTCAGAGAAAACAAAGCTAAAACGATGGAGATATTGCTCGTGAAAGACGGGAATGTAGAATCCAGTTTTGAGAAAAAGTCATGTCCCATAGAGAATACACGCAAAATGTGAAAAGTTGACATGCCTCCTTTAATCGCAAAAATAGGCCACGATACCTTTGTCAAAATGAAATATCGTGTTGACTGCATTTGTAGAGCATTGTCTCAGCTAGAACATATCGAAATTCGAAAAAGTCATGTCCCATAGAGAATACACGCAAAATGTGAAAAATTGACATGCCTCCTTTAATCGCAAAAATACGCCACGATACCTTTGTCAAAATGAAATATCGTGTTTACTGCATTTGTAGAGAATTGTCTCAGCTAGAACATATCGAAATTTGGAAGAAAATCAATCAACATTTACAGAGATACAATCAATTTTCCAAAAATCTGCTAACGTCATAATATCCAATTTGAAATTTTGAGTTCAGAGGCCATTATGATGACGTCATGAGTTAATTGAGGGTCAAATGAGACATGAAATCATATCTCCGACTCATAATCTATTTAAATATGAAAAGTAAATGGGGGTATCTATCCATTCTGAAGAGTTAAAATGAATTTTGTATAGGCTTGTTTTTGCACATGTAATGTGGATAAGGATAGCGCAGATCCGCGCGTGCTGTTAGCTTTGACGGACGCTAATTGCGTTATTACTAGTCAAAAAAAGGTGAACAAGGTATCAAAATGCTTGGAAAAATGTAATAAATATGATAGTGAAAATTTGGCAATTCTATGTTGCAAAATGTCAGTACGCGCAGTTAAGCGCGGAAACGCGCAAAAATATAAGTGCTCGCGCGCAAATTTTGAAAATGCTTACAATGGCCTGAAACGTGTGCAAAAAAAATTTGGAACGAATTTGAGCATTTTAACATTTTTATGCGCGCGTACGTGCGCGTCAAGGTGCGCTCGGATTTTGTTGACATTTTTAGTTGACCTTTGACCTGAAATTGATGTATACTAAATATGGTTCATTTTTGATTACTCGTTATTGAGATATGATAATGACCTGATTTTTACAAAATGGCGCCTGGATGACGTCACAATGACCCCATGAACTTGAAAAAGGTTTCGGGAACTTAATATTATAGGGCCTGATGACTAAAAGAAATGCAAAGGAAATTGACCAAGTCGATTTCGAGTTAAACGTATACACAAAAAAGTGTTCGGAAGGAATAAAAATAAATAAAGAAAGAAAGAAAATTCTAACGAAATCAATAGGTGATCTGTCGAAAACGACAGACCACCTAATAATATATCATAACAGCATAGGCTTGCATGTATTACATTACATACTAACATCAACATCTCTCAGTATGAAGTTTAAAACACACACACTAATTTACACTTTATGTTTCGACAATACATAGAAATACATTAAATATAGAACAAAACTAGCCTCTTTGCCTGACTTAATGACAATATTATGACTTCAATCTCCTTGATGCACTGGCAAAAAGGGGATTCTTGAACCTCAGCACAACCATGTTCATGTAGCCTTCTGAGTGTTTGATATCAAGTGAATAGCAATAGATGGCGCTATACTAGGCACCTTGCCTGAGGAAGTGCTATTACAAATATATATGTATTCATGTCATGCATTGTATTTACAATTGCACTGTCACAACAACAACAAACATGTCTTTGTTCTCATTCAGCCATTCAATTCATTCCTACGCTAGCCTACAACTGCATATTCGCATACCCGGAATGCCATTAAATTTGAGGGGATTCCCCATGAGGTAATTTTAAGAGCTCGCGCACCTGCATGATACATATATAGGACGTGGCAATGGTCGGCCATCATAGATTATGTTATAGACAAATAAAGTAGTGGCATTAAACAATCCCAATGTCGCAGTCATTGAGTCGTGTTTTCAGCTAATTTCTCCGTATTGACAAGGAATTTTGATTTTCATCATAATAATAGTAATAATAGCTAGTTTTTATATAGTGCTTTTCAGGACCGAAGGCCCTCTCAAAGCGCTTTACAGATATATATATTATTACCCCGGTCATCGTATTCAGGCTTACCCGCACACAATGTATGCACATTCTCCACTCGCTGGGGAGCATTCCAGCCAGGCGTCATTTTTACAAGCACAATGCTAATCTAAGCACATTAGCTTTCGCATCCTACCGGGTACTCATTTAACACCTGGGTGGAGAGTGGCAAATGTAGATCAATGTCTTGCCAAAGGACACTAGTGCCGCGGTGGGACTTGAACCGCGGACCTTGTGATCCACAGTCCAGTGACTTATCCACTCGTCCACAAGCTGCCAAGGTTGTACACAGAAACTACACTTTCGTGAAATAGGAAACCATCATTCGCTCCAATCCGATCCGCGCAGTAGCACTTCATAGGTTTATTGCATCACACGCATTTGTTTCCTTCTTCCCAACATCCCATAGTATAGACGCTATACATACAAGATTGTGGGCGTTGGGAGATATTATGCTCATGTGACCTAGCTATGACACGTTGACGTCATACGACTCCAGTAGCTAATTACGAACTAACTTATTAAAGGCATCGTTTAACAATGTTAAATCTGAGATACATTGTGTTAAAATAATTGCGCATAAAAATGATCACGAAGTACCTCTAAAAAGTAAATATCTTTGAGCAGGCGCGTACGCAGGGGGGGGGGGGGTGTTTGGTGGGTTAAACCCCCCCTTTGGTATTTTTATGTGTGTAAACCCCCTAAAAATTCCCTAAACCCCCCCCCCCCTTTGGATTTTTTTTTTTGAATTATAAAAAAAAAAAAAAATTACCCCCATGGCTGACCTAAGAAAGGTGACCTTACCCCCCCCCCCCCCAACGGAGCAAAATGTCAAATTACCCCCCCCCCCCCCCGTCTATTCAGAGGTCGGCTGAGTCGTTGCGATTTTTTTGAGACCAAAAAAAAAAAAAAGTGTCCGCTTACCCCCCCCCCCCCCCCCCCCCCCACTGAGCGACTTTTTGGCCGGTGCGATTTTCAAATTTTCCTGAGTCGTTGCGAAATTTTGGACCCGATTTTAAACCCCCCCCCCCCCCCCCCCTTGAAAAAATCCTGCGTACGCCACTGTCTTTGAGTGACCGGTTTTACCATACCGACTCATTTTCCCCAATGGACTGAAGTGTTATGAAAACCGTTAGGAGAACACCAAATTAAATTTCGATTTCAACTCATAAATATCTTGATAATCAGACAGGCGATCGGCTTGTAAAAGTCATGGTGTTACTGACTGACCTAAAGGTTTATGATTATCAATGCAGCATGAGCTAAATCCAGGATTTTGTTTCAGAATCTGAGACAAAGTTACCCAATCCCTTTAAGATTATAGAGATTTTGATTTATTTTATATCCATTTATAAGCACTTCCATCAAATTGAAGTATTGTCTTCTATATGATACATATATAAACCTCGTAACTCTAGCGTAAGTATACGGTCACCCAGGGGTCATTTTGTGAGTGTTTGCAGTACCATGCACACCACGGCTGCCACGCCTAGCATATTGGCAAAACGGCACTCAAGTCGCTTGCCACTGCACTACGGAAGTACAGGCCCACCCCTGCAAGTCAAGGGCACACCGTACTGTATTGCCACTTTTGTTTAAATATAGTATGGCATATTAGTGTCAGATTTGTGTCATGTTTGTGTAAATATTATTTGATTATGTTTGAACCTTAAACATCTGATGAGAGCGTAACCATTTTTCTTTGTCTTTTTGAATCATGACATGATATTTGGATAAGGGGCGAAAAAGTGTAAACAGTGAACCATTTTATGTACATTGTACATACACGTACATGTATGTCACTATTCACTAATATGAGTAATTTACTCGTTTTAAATAGTTATTTATTGTTTTACTCTTGACACTAAATTTACTTATAACTATCTTTTAATATTATATTATATCACTGTAGAACATGTATTTTAACTCATGTCATGTTTATATTAATGATCTTTTGTTTCAATGTTTTCAATGGTGGTGAATAAATAAATTCAATTCAATTTAATTCACTTCAATTTGTATAATTAACTGCATCAATCCCCTTTTTTGTCAATTACAGGATGTCTTGCTGGGGTTATCATTCATGAACCTTTCCAGCGGACTGAGTTTCTGTCAAATGAGAACGACATCTTATACCATGAATGGATTCTGCCATCTCTATCTGCTCATGATTCTCCTGATGAGATCTGGTGATGTTGAAACCAACCCTGGACCAGACAGGTCAGTCTATATGTATTTGAAGCTTATTCCCTTTTCTTTATTGCAACAGTAATGAGCAGTAGGGATATTAAGTAATTTTCTTATTATTAAAGCATAACACCACTTACGTGCATGCCAATTTTTCTTCCATATTCAAGTGCACTGCTCAATTAGGTATTTAAGTCTTGTGTCTGTATGCTTCAATATACCTTTGAATAAATATCATCAGTACATGTAGCTTAATAAAATCAGATAGGTATGCGCATGAAGCTGTAGGTACTGACAGTGCTCAGCTGTAGGAGCTAGTGTACATATTTGTAGACTGGAGTAGTTTATTCTTCCTAGTTGTACAGTCTGTTTCGCCCAAAAGCTCGTCAAGAACTGAACTAAACTTACAAAGTATGGAGAAAGGTGCTTTAATGAATCTTCTTCTTATCGAGTTCGAGTCACTACACAAGTCCTGTCCAGAATTATACAGTAGGGGTTACAACACAATAAGAGACACTTAAGGCCCCTCTAAATTGTTGGGAGCCCCAGAATTTGATGGCAAAATTTCACTTAAATTGTATCATAATGTGAAAAGGGATGTCATTTTATACACATTTCTGCAAGGATTTAAAAAACAAATGTGTTAATGTCGAATGTTGATGGAAGAATACAAAATTTAGGTTTTCTGTGTACAACAGAAAACCGAAATTATGTATTCTTTTTATCAATATTTGTCTTCAAACACATTTTTGGGGAAAATCTTTGCAGATGTGTGTCTTAAATGACATCCTTTTTCACATTATCCACTTGACTGCTATTGGCTTAAAAACGTGTTCATACCCCCTGTGCTACAGCACTTTTGTACTGTTCAAAAACCTGACAAAAACTGTACACTGTACACACACAAACAAAATTTTGTTTTTTGTTTTTGTTGGAAGAGCGCCATCTACTGTTCAAGACCTGTATAACATCATTGCAGTGTTAATTACACAGTAGGGCTTGGCATTATGCAGTGCTACGGTCTTGAGAGTGCAATGCCCTAAGCCAGTACAAATACGTGGTACGCACAGGCATGAAAGAGCGAGAACACGTAAATGTACGTGGATATAGCAGTCAAGTGGTTCAGATACAATTTAAGTTAAATTTTGCCTTCAAATAGTGGCGAATTTGGGGCTCCGAACACTTAAGAAGGGCTTTAAGAGATACTTAAGAGATGCTTGATAAACTCTTGTTTTTAATTACAGGATTGTCAGTGAAAAGGAATTCTTAAAGCTGTCCAAGCAAATTGAACCAAGCCACTACAAAGAGGTGGGCATTAACCTGGACATCTCCATTGTAGAGCTGGGGCAAATCGAGAAAGAGAGCCAAAATACCAGTGATGCATTGATGACAGTCTTCACGAGATGGAGAGACAAACATCTTCCGGGCACAGACATCAGGGCTCTTCTAGCAGAGGAATTAGAAAGAAGTGACTTAGGGTCCCTCTCTGGCAAACTACTTGCTGGCAGTCTAGTCCTGAAGCAGACAGGTGAGAAAAAGAAGGAATCATTTATGTCGGCTGCCTGCAAGAAGGCCTTTACTGCTATTGATAATGTATTGCTCTTGCAGGCAGCCAACAAACACTGATTTGACACTTTCTCATTTGGTACAAATAGTGCTACTTATAGCAGGACATCTCAATAGATGAACATCCGACAAGACTGATACTGCCGGTCTGGTGAACCCTTAGAATAAATGTCAGAACACCCACAATGTGGGCTGTCAGTCCATCGGTCGTTGGTCTCATGCACCTTCTAACAACTTTTCAGATGGTTTGCTAGACAGATATTGTCGGTCGTGTGGGCTGTCGGTCGCATTGGCTGTGGTCATTAATACATGGTTACAGACCCACTCACTATGTGCTGTGTAAGGTTTTACATGAAGCTGTACAAGGATTATCATTCAACAAATTTCTTGGCATTTCACAGATTTCAAACCCAGCCACTTTTTGACTATTTTTTTCAAGTCATGCTCATCTTTTGCCACCAAGTTTATGAAAATTGCACCATTACAGAGCCCTTTTTATCTTGTGTACCGTAACCTTAATTATGTCAGCCCCAAAATGTGTACAAAACAAAAGGAAAATTTACATTTCTCTCAGTTCTTTCTATATTGAGTGGAATTGTAATTGTTCTTTGAGCTACAATTTATAAGGCTTATAAGGTTCATCATTATTGTCCATACTGTTAGTGATGCAAATTAATGATATTGGCATGTTACATATGGATACATAAATAGACATGTATATACCTTCGTACCTAAAGACAAATTCTATTGAGATACGTATGTATGATGTGCAGAAATTAAACTGCAAAGACAATAAATTATTATCTGTTCTCATTGAATCTTGGTCCAGAGAACACCCTCAAACAGCAGGACTAAACAAAAATGAAAATGAAAAGTTGACAACAATAAATACATCAGAAATTTGTTCTTATGTTCATGTGTATATGTTATGAATATCCTAAACAAAAACATTTTGATATTCAGAAGAAATTATCACACTAATTTTATTAAATTTAAAGGTGCACCTGTTACAATGCCAGGATCACAGACCCCAACACTTTCTCCTGACCTGATCAAGAGATGTGCAGATGATTTCAAATTCAAATACCGGACAACTCTTTGTAAGATCAGAGCTGATCCTCTCAACCCCGATTCTATTGCGCCATTCAATGACATGTACACAAACCTTGTCCTGGAAGAGGAATATAGACAAAGCAAGCGACCACTTGAGTACAGGGATCTCTTTGATCTTAAAGTCAATGGAGAGTTCCCCAAGCGGATCATGGTCCAGGGAGAGGCTGGGGCTGGAAAGACAACATTCTGTGCTAAGATTGCCTGGGACTGGATAACTGAAAATCCTGTTCTTCCAAAGTTTGTGTGGGTTCTTGTTGTCCCTTTTCGTGGAGCCAAGCAAAACACAATCGGTGAGATTGCCAAGTCGTATCTCTCAAAGGACAACCCAGCAACAGCCTGCCAGATCACTGAGTACATCCGTTCAAATCCAAGACACGTATTCATTGCATTTGATGGAGTAGATGAGATGGATGGCAATATTGTACAGCAAAGGAAAGCTGGTTCAAAGTCAGAATGTCACCAGCCAAAGTCTGCTGATCAAACCAAGGCAAGATCAGAATCCAAGACGAACAAGAATAAGCGGCAAAACTTACGGCAGCCAAAGTCAGGAAGCCCATCAAGTGCCACTTCGCAGCCAAGAGTCAACAGTGCAGAGGCAAGTGGAAGTTCTTCAGAGAGAGGTGACATTGCACTTACAGACATTCTTCGTTCAGATGAACTTGCCACCTGCCCGGTGTTGGTGACAAGTCGCCCATGGAAGGTCACAGAGATTAGATGGGATGATATTCTAAGGAACCAATACACTTTCATACATGTGGAAGGTTTTAGCAAGGAGAATGTGGAGGTTTACATTCACAAGTACTTTCAAGATGATGGGGCCAAAGCAGATCAGCTTATCCAATTAACCAAAAACAATAACATCGTATCTAAGAATATGGCCCCGTATCCTATCTATATAGCTATGCTCTGTCTGATGTGGAGAGAACTTGATGATGAAAAACAAGAAAAGTTTAAGTCATTACGAACTTTTTCTCAAATATTTGATGAAATGTTTGAATTCTTGAAGGTGCATTATGCTCAGAAAAAAATCCCAGTTTTAGACAGCCCATCTTTCCAAGCCTATCGCTCTCAAATTGAGAAGCTCATGGAACCAGTTGCCAAAGTTGCTTTCATCGGGCTACAAGAAAACACCCTTAGTTTCAAAGAAGGTGATTTTGCACAGTGCTCAGACTCCATTGAAACAGCTTGCAGAGTAGGGGTGTTGTCTCAGGAGAAAAAATTGTCATCTAACCTGTATGACAAGAGCAGTATGTTCCTGCAGTCTACTATCTTCTTTCCACACAAACTGTTTCAAGAGTACATGGCTGGGGTCCATCTTTCTTCCCTGTATGAATTAGATCACAATGAATTCAACAGGCTGATTGAGCAAGTAGTGCTGCCTAGAAAGGAAGAGTTTCGGTATCTCCTGTACTTCACCGTGTCACGGGACAAAACCATTGCAAAGCATGTCATGAAATGCATGGTACAGGATAACACCTCAGACCATGAGGAGACGGATTTCTTGGTTGATGTATCCTTTGAGAGTCAGGACCTAGATACTGCAGCCTTGGTGAGGGGTAGAATGTCATCTCTGAGAATATGGCCATTCATGACAGCACACACAATAGCAGGTTATTTATTCACTGGACTAGGTGTACATAAAGATGTAAGTTTGATATCTTACGTACATTAATAAGTATTATAATTTAAAGGGGATGTCCACCCTGATATTAAGTTGGTTTGAATAGAAGCAGAAAATGAGAAAAATGGGTCAGTGTCAGTTTGAGCAAAAAATTATTAAAATGATTTAAAACTCAAAATGTTCCTATTTTAATTGAATATTGCTCAAACTTTCAATAATTTATTTCTCTCCTTTTCCTACTTTTATTAAAACCAACTTAATATCAGGGTGGACTTCCCCTTCAATTGCAAACCCAACAGGCATCTTCAGGCACACATTTTTTTCTTAGGAATGGCTACCGGTATTTGATGTTTTTTTATTTATCCATTTATTCATGGTATTAACCAAAATATGATTAGCAGCCAATGGCTGAATTGTTCACACTTTACAAGCATGTTTTAAAATTACATAAAGTACAATACTAAATATGGTAAGAATATCCAAAAGCCAGATGATACTCACAGTACATAGAACACTGTAGATTAAATAATTTAAGAAAAACAGAAACAGAATAAATATAAGTCATGAAACATAATTCATGGAGAGAATTAAATCACACTTTTGATCAGTAAATTATGTCCATTGTTCCCACCATTCTATCCATCCCCTTCCACCCCCCCCCCCTCTCTCTCTCCCTCTCCCTCTCTCTTGCCTGTGGGTTGTCGGCAGATACATCAATAATTTGGTTACAGATATTTGGTTTAATTTAAGGGTTAAAGTATTTATGATAAATTCAAAAGGGAATATAATTTTAATCAATGGTATGAGTATTAAAAAGAGTAAAAAAATATTGCATAATTATAAACCGTCAAGTTGGTCAATATTGATAAAGTGCATCAATTTTTTTTGCAGGGCTTGAATGGAGTGTAAAATTGTACATACATGTATGGTATAGAAATCTAATTAACACTAAATAATGGACAATAATGACAAGATAAACGCATTAAACTGAGGATAATGGGATTTTGCTGGTAGTTTTACCTAAGTATATTGCACAACAAATTTATTTATGGCTCCCTTCCCCCCCCCCCCTTTACTTTAAATTTAAATTCAAGAGCCTATGATGAGGTAATGGAGAGCACTTCTTTTGTAGCGCTCTGTTTTACAAAAAACTTCGGACTAGGTTTGGCCATTTCGCAATGATCGACAATATAAAGTTGATCGCAAGGGAGGAAGCCCGTGGTGAAAGTTTGATGATGGGCTGGTCAATCTTTTGCCCAAACTCGATGCTAGTTTTTCTCTCCTTTCATTTAGAGTAGGTAGTTCCAATTCTCAGAGAGCATGATGTTGGTATTACATTAGTGCAGTCCAAGCACAAGGCAGCACACTCATTTTTTGAATATTTCAATCTGATTACCTTGGTGTTCAGTTAGCCTAGAGTGCCAAACAGGGGCACAATATTCTACCTTTGGCCAAACGTAAGAACAGTAGACATATAATAGATCATTTGCTGGAAGTTTGAATCTGTTTAATATTCTGAGCATGTATAGTTTTGTGCTTGCTCGCTTGACAATATCATTCACATGATATGAACATTTCAGATCAGTTTAACCAGTACTCCAGGTACATGGAATTTTAAAGGCCCACTGCACTACTTGTAGCTACTTGCGCCCTCTATATAACAAACAATGCCTAATCGGTGACCATTGGTCCCCCATGATCCTCTTTTTCTTATGTTAACTAAGAGCTGAGTTGATGAGATAACCACCTGTCCAGTGACCTTGCAGGACGTTCTAATCCCTCTTGTAAACTATGGCAGATAAGCTTTAATATGCCTACTTTCATGCACTCTCTTACATCCATGACCTTACACCTGATTATCAAATCAAATAATTGTTTTCCCCCTTTTCAAACAACACATTTAAAATCAATGACAGATTATTTGTTTAATAAAAGTGGCATGGACATAAAGACCAAGCACTATAAAAAATCAAATCGTTAATATTTTATACACAAGACAACATTTAGGAGAGAAAGAAAGAGATGAGAAGGAAGCATTATTAACAAATTTGCACAAGTCTTCAAGGAGATGTCTTTAATACAATATTTTACACTAATAATATTTTTAAGTGGATATTCTCCCGGCAATGATGATTATTGACTGTCCATTTTTGTTGTAGTGGAGGGGAGGGGGGGGGGGTTGATGTGAAACATACATTATGATAATACTTGAGCAGTATCATTTCATATACCCATCACTATAGGCATATGATAAATATCAACAGTCAACTATTTGAATTAGTTTTATTGGACTACCAACCCTTTACTGGTTGGAAAATAAACTGTCTGCTTGAAATGGCATCCTACACCTCAGTTTTGCTGCAACCAGTCCTCTTGATCATTTGATGCTCAGACTTCAGAGTAACCCTTAATTTTGATAGATGGAATAATCTTGGGCCCTTTAAAATGGCCTTTACCATGCTGCATTGTAGATGAAATGTTATAGCAGGCCTTCCTTTGCAAATAAATTTGGGATCATATAGGTTTCGTAGCACTACTCTGATGATATCGACCACTGTATTAAGTAACCATTCTGTAATCATTCAATGAGACTTTCTTAATGCAGGCCGAGTGACAGAAGCATCAACAAAATCTGAGGTGGTCTTAAACTTTATCAATGGACTCTGACTTTCTCATATTTTAATTTTTTGTTTGTTTTGTTTTTGTTTTTGCTTTTGATTTAGATCGATCTTGGAGTAAATGGAGAATTTGGACCAATTATATCACATGATATGGGGGAGATTATATGCTCTGTGCCCTCTCTAGAGGATATTACACTACATTTAGCTGCCTTGCACAGTGACTTCTATGCAGTTCTTGCTAAAGAAGGAAACAAGTCCAAGGTGAGTGAAAAAACACATTGTAATGCCGTAGTCTAGCCTAAGGGGGCGCTTTGTCAAGACGCAGAACATCAATCGCTTGAAAATTTGAAAAATCACTGTGATTACAGTTGTAGAAAAAAAATTAAGTTGGGTCAGGAATTTAAAAGTTAAAAACTAAAATGTGTATTGTTTTTGTCATTCTGTCACTTTGCATCCTCTCAGTAAGATTTACACGAGGATGTTGCAAAATTTTCTCACAACAAAATACAAAATTGTAGTGGGAGAGGGGGGGGGTAAACCTTCCCCCTTCAGTTGCCAAACTTCCTTAAATATCCCACCCACCTCCTCCCCCCCCCCCCATTCCTGCCATGACAAGATATTGCTGCCCCTGAATGTTTGATTTAGGGATAAACCATAATAAACTTGAGTATTGAATGGGAAATGCACATAGGGAGTCAATACATGCAAAGTGTTCAAATAATTTAAAGCCTATCAGAAAAGGTTTTTATTGCCAAGTCTTGAATTATATTTAGTGTTCACTTAACTTCTTTCTGATTTTACGTTCATGACATGTTGCATTAACCTCAATTTAAAATTTCTGCATCATGTCAGGGTTTCTTTTTACTATTTAGTTTTGACTATACAACCGTCTGTAGTGTATATTGGATTCCGGACCAAAGTTTGTGAAGTCAAAGAATCAATTTGGAGAATGTTCTAAAGTAATATGAATCAAATATGACATTTATTTTTAAAATTGCCACTCACATGCCAACAGCTTTTGTGGCTAAAATCACAGTGCACATACCTGCTTAAATGTAAATAAAAATATGGCTGATGATGATGATATCTAATTGAAAAGGGAATTGAGATGAAAATAAGAGATGAACTTGCATTTTAAGAATGCTATTCAATTTGTCGACAAACTCGATTTCCTGGTACATCATAGTTATTTACATTTAAAGCGACTACCTATATTCTTTATTTCTGATATTACTGTTTTTCTTTCCTAATCACTGTCTGAGTCGCTGCTACTGTCACTGATTTTCGCTGCTCTGATGTCGTATTCGATGTCCTGCATCCTGCTAAATTTGCTTGATAGTCCTTGGTAGCGGCACCCTATGTACATGTAGCACGGTGTTTCCTTCTTAGCACATGAGCAGTTCTTCTTGCACCCTTCAGTACATCCGCATGATATAGCCTTCTTCATTGAAACGGGCCAGGCTTGATGGGTACTTCGAACAGGATGCATGTGCTGATCATCCAGATTCCACCCAAATTCTGTCCAGGGTGGGGTTTTAGGCTTGGCAATGTGTGCTCTCTTATTCATCATCGTTGCAAGGGCATGCAGCTCTCTTTACATGAAGAAAAAATGCGTCTCCTGTTTGGGGGGGGGGAGGAGCCTTAGGAGAGTATAGATCTTTTGTTCAAAAACTTGTATGCTCTGAGATTGCCCAGATCAGACTCCTTGAAGTCATCACTTGCTGAGGTGTTAATATATGTTATGATGGCCCTAATACCTCCTTGATTAGTTCTCTGGATATAACGTCAGTGATGGCCCTTGCCTTGGGGTTCTCACCAAGTCAACAATCTCTAGTTCTCCATCACAAGCAATGATCTGTGTCATACGCAGAAGAGCAGCTACTTCATCACTATTCCCTGATTTAGCTCTTGTGGGCCCAGACTTCTTTTGTTTCTTGTTTTGTGTGTGGAATGTGTTCAGCTTCATAATACTTGTCTTCTTCTGAAGACTGGACAGTGATTGAGACAGTGCCTCCACGCCTATTTGTTTAACACTGCTCAAGTTGTCCTAAACTGTGCAATCAGCTCATTGCCCAGTTGACACATTTATCAGGGATGTTGTAGTTGCTCTGGATGGATTCGTCTCGACTACTACCATTACCTTGATGACCATCTCTGTGTCCCTTGTTACTCGACATACACCAGATTCATTGTTAGGGCTGGGTGAAAGAAGATGCAGCATCGATCTTTACTGTGCAGAGACAGATGTGATGGGTTTTAATTGTTTAAACCCTTTTTATCCATGCGGCGGGGTTAGGTGTAATTCCGTCATGACCGCTTTCTTCTTTACTTGGCATCTGCATTTGTCTGTTCAAGAAGCATGTCAGGAGAAACACAATTGTGCTTGCCATCTGCTCTCCTTGCAACAAATGCACCCGCCATAAGTGCTTCATGTACATCAGGGGCTGTTTTAGGAAGATTTTTCATCTCATCAAGATAGAGAGGCAGAGACTGCTTGCCCATATTTGTAATGCCCTGCTGCTTTGAGGTAAGGTATCATTCAATATGATTCACAGACATGTCCTACCCAGTCAGCTTCTCGCTGGTAGTAGTTAAATCTATGCAGAACATCAGGAAGGTGGACCAGAAGATTGCTGTTGGTTGATCAACCATTGATTCTGGGAAAAGTTCCTGAAGGGCTGATAACTGTTCATGGGAATTCTGAAGCATTTGCAACTTTTCAGTGGCAGTGATGTCTTTTTCATAGTGCATTTTCAAGACAGATTCCACCTCAGGCTTCCAGTGATCTGTTTCTCTGTCTGCTGCCCATCATGTCTAGAATGCTTCCTAGTAGAGGCGCCACATAGTTTCGCTCAGGATTCTGAGGGCATGTATGGCCTGGTAGTAGTCGGCTTTATCACCAAACATCTTCTTGGCAGCCCCTTCCTGGCACAGACCAGCTGCAACAAGAAAATCTTCTGCACCTGCCGCCCTAAAGATCTGCAAACTGCTTTCATGTAGTTGTGAGCTTGATGAAAGCCACCCAGCAGTAAGACCACATTGCTGAACTCACTCTCTGATGGCTACAGCGAGCTCATATATAGCCTGATCTCCAGTTATAATTGTGTATTTGTTACCACGTGCATGTGATGTCCTGACAAGTCAAATCATCATTTCCTTTAGTACAGTAGGGTCAGTTGGAGAAGATGGGATCAGAGGAAGATAGCCAATGATTCTAGCCTGTCTATGTGGATGGAGGTCAGCACAGAATGAGGAAAAGCCCGGAAGTCCTGCTTCTAAAACTCTAGGAGCATCCACCAGTTGTGAAGTTGTGATCATTCTACCGAAGCGCCACATAAGCAGAACGTCCTCAGTCTTCATGGCCATCTGAAGAGTGAGTGAGTCTGGAACCATATTGTATGCAGATGTGAATGAAATCTCAGTTAAATTTTTCTCACACATCTTTCTTACACTTCACAATCTGCTCTAAGAATCTTTGATGCTTGCAGGAGTGTATGGTGTTTTCCCTCGATATCATCTCCTTCTAGGCGCCTCAGTTTTTTCAGTGCGTCACCAAGTGGTAATGTGGAAGCACATATAAATCCTGAACCTTTGGTTTGATTGAGAACCAAAATATGTGACCCATAGTATTCATGTAATTTATGTTTCAAGATGGTCGCCCGGTATTTATCTCCTTTATCGACACCAAGCTCCTCAAGAATGTCTCAATACCTTACGCGGATGATTCTATGAGGAATGTGGACAGACCAGGAGGTGGAAAAGAGGAGCTTTCAGCTCATCTACAACATCATAAGGGTTTAACTTTGACCGACCAGAATGCGAAGAGCTTTAAATTTGTTCATATATGTTGTTACACACGTAACTGGATGAAGAATAGGCTTATCACAGATTCTTGTTGGCATATGATGCATTTTGTGTAGTCAGTGCTCATATCTTTGGAAGAATAGCAGGCACATGCTTCATGGACATGGCACTATCTGCCACACGTTTTCTTGGCTGGTTACTCATCTTGCTGTAGGAACCTATAATATAGAGGGGTGTATCATTTGAATAATAGTTGCACTGTATTTTATATTTCATATATACCTAACTTTGAAATGTTACTTTACATTAGCAGGCAAACTTTCACTCTTTCTTGTAATTCTTGTAAGATCTTAAAAGACAGACCCAGGAATTCTGAAATTCATCTAGTATGAGGTTGCTTTGGTCAATGTCACCCTCTTATACCTATATCAATTATAAAACAACATTGAGATGGGGGTAATAGGTATATTAGTATTGGATTAACAGGAGCATTGGATGTAACAAACATGTAAAGTCATCACAAAAGGTTGCAAATCCGATTTAAGTGTTCTGATCCAAAACACAAGATGGAACAAAATTTATGCTACATTATATTAAGGTTTATTCTAATCTACAAGTGTTAAAGTGGAACTAGTATAAGAAACTATATATTTATTGGTTCACTTTCTCTTATATTTACATCAGGTAATGTTTTAATACAGAGTCCTTGAGAAGAATCTTCAGGATTGCTCCATAGTGATGCCAGATGATTACATATGGAAATTCTGTAATAAGCTGCTAGATAATATTTTATCAATAATCCAAAAGTTTGCTAAGAGTAAAAATATTCTGATTTGAGTTAGCAAAACTTACTACATCCTCAAACCTGCAACTGAAATTCCTACCTCATACCAAAAGGTTCAAGCTGGTTAGGAAGTTTCTGATAGTTTCTTCATCATTCTATTAGTTGAAATGTACTTGTAATGTTTGATTTCCTGTCTCTCTGATGTTGCTAACAACTCTGTTTAGTCATTTATAGAAAAAGGGAAGAATGCAATTAATCATTCACGTTTCAGTTGCAAACTTGACACATACGGTATGCGGCAATGATGACTCATTCTAAATGAAATAATCAGGGAACTAAACTGCATATTGTCCAAAATGAACTTTGTTATGCTATAAAAAATTTTACATGAAAAGCAAAACATCTGTAATTTTCAGATGATATTCAACTAATATTACATACCTGCCAACCCTTACAAATAATCCGGAATATTCTGTTTTTCTGGATTAGTCATTTATAGAACTTCATTAAAATATTTGTAGATCCAGACAGGATTCTATGTTTTATTTGACCATGTCATACAAAAACCAAGATTCTACAATTACCTTACACAATTTGTATTAATTACAAATCAGAATTACTAATTTTTGGGTGAATTTATGAATTGCCCCTGCCACTTGTGTCTCCCCCATCGCCCAGCCCAACCGTTCACTGTCCCTTCAATCATTAAGAAAAAGGATAGAATGCAATTAGATGATTCACGTTTCAGTTGCAAGGGCAAACCTGACAGATATGCGGCAATGACGACGCACGTTAAACGTATCATCAAGGAACTGGTCTGTGCATATTGTCCAAAATGAACTTTACTACGCTATACATTTTTTTACATAAAAATCAATGAACCTGTAATTTTCAGATCGTATTCAACTAATATTAGGAAGGTTTTCTATATATTTTTAATTCTTCAGTTTCAAAAGTGATTGAAATATGGAGAAATAACTCCACCAGGTGTAAATGGGTACCTGATATTATTCAGCACTAGTTACTTTGGCAGCTCGGCTACGACCAGGGTAATATGCGTAAAGCACCATGAGCGTCAGAGCTTGGCGGATACTGGTGCTATATAATTATCCTATTATTTATTATTATTATTATTATTATGTAAAATAAATTCAATCATCATGAATGTGGTATCATCTTGTAGATAATTTAATTTTCTTTCATTGATACCACATGCATGGTAAAATGATGTTCTGTTACAAAATTATCTTCTAATTATTGACTATTTTTTTTCCAGAAAAATATTGTCAGGGTAGTCCACCTAGAAATTGTGCAGGAAGATCCTCTGATCAAGTTTATACCGACCGACCTACAACATCCCGACCAAAACCCCCCAAATTAAGGTTTTGCCCCATAGGTATTCAGCTATTTTGTTGTTGCCTTGATGGTATTATGTCTTCATTCAACAGAACTATAGTACATACAAATTATTAAAACATAGCAGGCCACATAATACGAACCACAAAGGAAAATTATCGTAAGGAATGTATATGTTCTATAGCTAGACCACTTTCATGTACAATATAACATCTATTATTATAATCATCATAATCATTTTAAGCTTGTAAATAAAATTATCATTCTTTAAACTCTCTAATAGAATATTATCTTTAGCAATGCTGGTCTAAATATTTGAATTACAATGAAAAGGTGCTATACTGAATATTTTACTGAGAAGATTTGCATTTAATTCACATACCTCTAAAATACAGTAGAATCACTGCAATTCGCTCCTACGCTCAGGAATTCCTGATCTTCCTCTTACCTGAATCTTCAGTATGGTCATATCCTATTGGACTGTCTATCCCTGACTCTTGACAAAGGCCTTATATTTTCATGCACTTTTGATCTTACTATAATGTACATAAAAATCACCTGAAGGTACTAAGTATTTTAAAACATATAAATAATACACATTCTGACTTCTCACTGTCTGATTTAACTTATAAAAGTATACAAAGGACTAATATTGGGAAAACTACTCTGTGCAAATAAATACTAGCCCCAACAAGACCCTTTCATTGATGCGGTCTCTGACCACATGTTTACAAAATTCCTGCTCCCCCTCCATCAACCAGTGTTAACCCTATTTAGCCCAGGGGGAGGGGGGGGGTTGGCTTTAGAAGCCCCCCCCCTCGACATTTTACGCGATAATTTTTTAACGCAAGAAAATCTTGCACTGAAATTTTGTGACTTTTTTCTCTCGAGTCTTGCGCATCTTCTGAAAGAATTTTTTTGAAAATCAAACCTACCATTATGAAGTCACGTGTCATTTTGTCTTTGCATGTCAGCCCGAAAATCGCTAATTTTTGTGATTTGTGTACAAAACATATGGAAATCTCATTTTTCAAATAAAGAGATAAAACATTGGTTATTTGGTCTTGTTTATAGTTTAGGTGTTTATTTTTGGATCCAAATAGTTGAATTACAGTTGGAAATAAAATAAAACAATAAAAACAATAAACTACATAAGTTAAAAAAACAAAGAAATTCATAAAAAATTATCAAAACAATAGATAACATAAGGAATAACCCTGGTTTTTCAATTTTTTTGTGTTGTATTATTATTCCAAATGGTCTAAAAAATATATGTAGTGAGAAAGAATGCTTAAAATATGAATAATGTCTGATTTATGGGCAAAAAATGTGAATTTGATGACCTTATTTGCATAAATTACCATAAATATGCTAATGAGTGAATTTTTCAAAAAATTAAAATTACCATAGTATTCTATACACTTCACTTGACATGTATGCAAATTTTCGCGACGATCGGGCGTTTCACGGCCGAGATCATAGGGGGGGGGCCTTAGAAGCCCCCTCCCCCCCCCCCCCCCGGCTACGCAGTTTCAAAATAGCCCGGGCTAAATAGGGTTAAACCTATTTCAGTCGTTCAATTTCTGTACAGATCAAGACTCTCTGCCTTCATGATGTTGAGTGCCTTACACCAGCCTCATCACATGATGACATCTAGTAAACAAAAGCTATATAAAGAGAAACATACATGTTGATCTAGAAGTATATGTAAATTAATGAAATTGAAAATCTATTTGGCAAATTAACGTAACCTTCATATTGTAGTTATGTTCAAGATGAGCTGGGTATTACTCAGCGTCCTGTGTTTGTTTTTGTTCATAAATATTTTGGATGGATGCAATTACTCAGATGAATACGCAGTAGTTACATGTACTACGGCTATAATAGTAAAACTTAGTCCTATAAATCTTTTTTGATGCATTTTCTGCGCCCACTACCCTGAACTAACCGATTTCTGAACTTAACCCAGCACTAAAATCTATAATAAACCGTAAGACTAAACCTAAGCTCAAAGCCTATTTGCAGCTCTCATGCGGATCCTATATATATTTGTGACTTAATAAAGCCCAGAACATTTGTCAACTGAGCTTAGCCATACACATACATGTATATTGGAGCACCCAGTTATATTTGCAGTCATTCAATAAATACATGTATTCTGGTAATGTACTTGAATGAATCACTGTTTGTATACATGTAGGTCAAAACTGTCGAGCTTCAAGATGTTAGCTGTCCAACATCAGCCTCTTCACATTACCTAGTAGATGCTTTGTGTTCCATGCCAAACCTGACTCACCTACAACTGACTGGAAAGGAGTTCTATTCTGCACTGAATGCAAAGGCGTCAACCTTACAGGTATGTATGTGTGTTTGTACTCTATATCCATGCCATGATTAATTCAGGTACACATGCAGCAGTGGAGATGAATTTAAGGAGTTATGATATTTTAGCAACATGCTGTCAATATTTTGTCAACGTGTTAATTTTTTTATATGAAAATGTATAATAGTCTTAGCAGACAAAGGAACAGTATTATAAAAAGAGGGGTTTTCATGTGCAGTGTAAGATACAGAATTCAGATGGCTCGAGTTAAAAATATGATGTTCTGCAAAAAACATCACTTTTAAAGGATTGCCTCAGAAAAGATATTTTGGTTTAATGAAGACTAACTTAAAGTTTTTAAGTAAGCTTTTTGGGGGGGACTTGATCCCTGCACCAAAAAGTATTCCTATCACTAAACCTGAGCTCAAACCTATTTGTAGCCCTTATCCAAATCCTATATTTGACTATATAAAGCCCATTGCATTTGTCACCCAATCAGAGCACCCAGTTATATTTGCAGTAATTCAATGAAAATGTGTACTCTGGTAATGTACTTGTATGAATCACTGTTTGTATACATGTAGGTCCAGACTGTCGAGCTTGAAGATGTTAGGTGTCCAACAACAGCCTCTTCACATTACCTAGCGGATGCTTTGTGTTCCATGCCAAACCTGACTGACCTGATACTATGGGGAAAGGAGTTCAAGGAGGAGTTCTTTTCTGCACTGAATGCAAAGGCGTCAACCTTACAGGTATGTATGTGTGTTTGTACTCTATATCCATGCCATGATGAATTCAGGTACACATGCAGCATTGGAGATGAGTTTAAGGAGTTTCTATGCCTCAATTACCAAGTAGCCGGAGGCATTATGTTTTCAAGTTGTCCGTCCGTCTGTCCGGCCGTACGTCTGTACACACGTCTGTACGTATGTCCCGTTCTCGTGATCACGTTATCTGAAGAACCGACTGATGGATTCCTGCCAAACTTAGGTCATGTATATTACTTGCAGAGTTAATGGACTGATTAGATTTTGGGGTCACGAAGTCAAAGGTCAAAGGTCACAGGGCTTATTATGTATGCAAAAACAGCTCGTGATCGCGTTATCTGAAGAACCGGTTGATGGATCCCTGCCAAACTTTGGTCATGTATGTATCTTGCAGAGCCAATGAACTGATTAGATTTTGGGGTCACGAGGTCAAAGGTCAAAGGTCACAGGGCTCATTATGTATGCAAAAACAGCTCGTGATCGCGTTATCTCAAGAACCGATTGATGGATTCCTGCCAAACTTGGTTATGTATGTTACTTGCAGAGCCGATGAACTGATTAGATTTTGGGGTCACAAGGTCAAAGGTCAAAGGCCACAGCGCACATTATGTATGCAAACACGGCTCGTGATCGCGTTATCTCAAGAACCGATCGATGGATTCCTGCCAAAATTAGGTCATGTATGTTACTTGCAGAGCCGATGAACTGATTAGATTTTGGGGTCATGAGGTCAAAGGTCAAAGGCCACAGGCTCATTATGTATGCGAAAACAGCTCGTGATCGCGTTATCTGAAGAACCGATTGATGGATTTCTGCCAAACTTTGGTCATGTATGTATCTTACAGAGCGGATGAACTGAGTAGATTCTTGGTTCATAAGGTCAAATTTCATGGGCTCATTATGTATGCAAAAATAGCTTGTGAACGCATTCTCATTAGAACTGACAGATGGATTACTATTTAACTCAGGACATCTTGCAGAGACAATGAACTGAGTAGATTGTAGGGTCATGAGGTCAAAGATCAAAGGGTCATATATGTATATGAGAAATTGCTTGTAATCACGATATTCTGAGAACCTGTTAATGAATTACAATTGAAGTTGAATTCGAAAAATTTCTTCTGTTTTGGTTTGTAAAATTGCTCTATGACGGAGGCATCATTTTCGACTGCGCGCAGTCAAATTCCATCTAGTTTGTTTGTTTTTTTGGGGGGGAGAGTGTTGTGTTACTAGTTACGCAATAATACAATTTCAGTATAAACAGATCACTGAAGTACTCTAAAGACTAATAGATACAAATAGTTCAAATCAATGCATAAGGTTTGAATAATGTCATCATGGGTCTGAGAGTATACGTCAGATTGAATAGTCACTAAACAAGGATGGAGATCTTGATCACAGTGTACTTATTTCAAGCACAGATTTTGTTGTTGTTTTTTTGTTCTTTTTGTTTTGGGCATGTGCATGATCAGGGAGGATGGGGTGTCAGCATAAAGTTCTGTTGAAAATATTGACCAGTTCAATCAACATAGCTTTTTTGTATGTGTGTGTATTTGGTGGGGAGGGGTGGGGGGCATATAGGAGTTGTCAACATAACAAGGATACTAAGTCTATATGCCAGAGAACTGACCTGGTATGTACATGTATGTTAAAGTATGTCAGCCAGACTGGAATGGAGGGAAACTACATGAATCACTATCACCAATCATGCTCATATATTTCTTTTCAGGATTCTTTTCCTCAAATCAGTAATGGAAATTTCAGGTTCAATGGAGTTCTCCAAGCGGATTTTGATTCATTCCTGCAGTCACTCACTGACTTTAGACGGTAAGTGAACTATTAAACAAAATAAATTACAAATTAATTTTATTGCTATACAACTTACTCCTAGATCCTAATCAAATGATTGGTTAAGCAGGGTCACATGTGATTCCTTTATCGCCAATGTGATCGCCAATATGCCCAAAATGCACAGATAAAGCCTCTCTGAAGTAACTTTGAGCCAATGTACATAGGTACGTCTCTGAAAGCTACATCTAGGTTCTTTATTTTTGGTGACGGCAGCAATGACAAACGAGAAAGATCCTCCAAATCTTATCGATGTCTAGATTAAAACAATGGAAGGACCTTCTTGAAACTTCAAGAAAATGACGGGCTTAACTTTAGAATATCCCACCAGAATGGAGTATGTCCATTGGTCATCTAAAAAGTCAACGAACCCTTTAATGTAGTCACATCCTTTAATACTTCAGACAGGGTTTCACTCTTGCCAATGAACATAACCAAAGAAAGGTGACATTATTATTTCTACGCTTCTACTTGCTCTTTCCAATCATACCACCAAATATGTTAATTTTAGTATGTGTAAAATATTTTCATACGTCGCTCTTGAAATCGTTGGGAATCGTGATATATCACTGTGAGTACTGTCAGAAAATAAAGTACATACACACACAATCACCCCTAGCGTGCACAGCACTGCTGTGCGAAATAGACAGGAAGCGACTTGGTCACCAAACTATCCCAGAGTGCATTTGAAACGAGGCCTGAATGTAACATGCTAGTATTTGTAATAGACTGGTGATATCGAGAATTAATCAAAGATTTTTCTTATTTATCTTTGCTTTAACAGGAAACATGTTTTCACTAGCATAAAAGATAGCATGAAACATTGAAAGTTACCATTAATATTATCCCAAATCTTGTTTGTACATGTATCTCCTTCAATAAATTGGAACATAATAAATAATAGCAACTGTACCACTACTTTTATGTAACAGATAAATACAATGCTTAATAAGAAACAAATAATTGCAGCAAAACTGGATATACAACAGATTTTTTACTATTGATTGGATTGTTAGTCACTTCATATGTTACAGGGCCAAGATCCTATCCCCCAAACCTATATTTCATCTTCTTTCCTCAACATCAATTCAGGGGGGATGGCGACTCGCACGAGGAGGATAACGTCTCAGACGAGGAGGATGGCGTCTCGGACGAGGAGGATGGCGTCTCGGACGAGGAGGATGGCGTCTCGGATGAGGAGGATTACGTCTCTGCTGAGGAGGATGGCGTCTCGGACGAGGAGGATGGCGTCTCGGACGAGGAGGATTACGTCTCTGCCGAGGAGGATGGCGTCTCGGACGAGGTGGATTACGTCTCTGACGAGGAGGATGGCGTCTCGGACGAGGAGGATAACGTCTTGGACGAGGAGGATGACCTATGATGGACAATACCTTCAAGAGCCACACAATGGCAGTGTACAACCATCCATATTGCACAGTTTGATCATAGAACTATCTCCAAGATGGTTGTACGACAGTTGTTCCGCGTCGGTTTTCTACACTAACCTCAGACCTTACATATTACTTTAAAGATAAAGTTGTAATATTTAACACTAGTTCTAAAACAACGAATTCAATTCAATTCATATCACAACATAGCAACGTTATATTCATACACATTAAATATATCATATTACGTGTACCGTAAACATTATTACCTGAATTCTTAAAGGGACTTGGTAACATTGTTCAGACGAGAGATAGTGGTGCTAAGGTAGTGACTTCAATGGTAGATGTACAATTACAGATAATCTGAAAATTTGAGTGAAAACGGACGATTATTAATGATACAAATCGGGAAAAACTGATCTGATCGATTTCTTAATTCTCCCAACTATATTATTACAATTTAATTACATTTTAGGTGAATGTAAATCGTCACAAAGCAATAAATTGGCTCTACATACCATTCCAGACATTTAAGTGTTGACAGATTTTAATAGCCTGTTTAATGTCTTTTATCATGGAAAAACGGTTGGGAAATTCAAAAAAGATTGGGAGAATTTACTGTTAATCACTGTTTAATACAGGGCGTGCCATTGACAGTGACGCCTTCAAAGAAAACCGTAGATATCTTTGTGGTTTGAGAATTTTTTCAGGATTTTGTGCATGTCAGAGGGTGTAGTAGAAGGAACATAACAAGTAACATGTTATACACAAATTAAGCAATTTTTTCATCAATCTTCAACAATGTTACCGAGTCACTTTCATAGAGTGCAACCCTAACCCTATATGTTTCATGAAGTATAGCCTGGATCATAGGATCAAATGTTCACCCTCCATAAAACTTTTGTGACAAGCTCCCCCCCCCCCCCCCTCTTTTTTAGACAATAGTTTTATATGACAGATCATGACTTAAAATGTAAACACAATCAAAAAATATTTGATGTTTAAATATAAAACCACTTTTTCATGAATTTCTTTTCTCTTAGATATGTTTTAGCAATACATTTTTCAATTTCATGATAAAATGTTATAGCTGACATAATATTGTCAAAAGCGTTAATGTTTGTTCTACTAAACTGAAAAACAATTCTTTTCTTACCACCGTGACGAGCAGTTGTGTTACTCAATATCCCAAGGTGTAACGCTCGATCGTTAGCAATTCAGAAAAAAATAGCTGTGAAGGATGACTTACTGAAATCTTTCATTTTTTTCTGCACTCATAATAGTAAATTCCAAAAATTAACACAAAGCCAGAATCAGAAACTTGAAATCTTGGCCCTGTTTTATGAAACTTGTTATCAATAGCAAGTTGCAATTACTGTTATAAGCTCCTGAAATGGTTGCATTTGATTGGTTGAGAGCAAATTTGTCATAGAAATGTGACACGGGTTTATATTGGTAGCAAGTTTTATGAAACATGGCCGAGAGTTTCTTTGAGCCAGTTTGTCTGAAAGTGGGATTCCGTTACAAGGGCCCTCTTGCTTCAACAGTTGCAATGTCAAACATAGCATTACTCAAAAAGTAAACACAATTACTAAATACGCAATCCTGATTGGTTGAAAATGTAATTTTTAATGAAAGAGTCTCCAGAATGCAATATTGACTATGATGTTGATTTGTATTGTGATTGTAATTTTATTAACTATTAGTACCATGTTGTAGTTAATTGTATGCATTCTGTTCAGGTTCACACGAGTTGAGGATACAAAGTTGGGCCCCGAAAGTTTACATGAACCTGGAAGATACTCATTTTACTCTGATTTTCTCAACTGCACTCATTCCCATCAGGAGTCGCTTGTCTCGGAGTGATTAGTGATGCATATACTATATGTAATAAACAGAGACCATATTTGTCTATAAAAAGTTGCGATTCAGGGATTTTTCCAGTACTTGACAATGTTTTTGTTTTTTCTTCGTCTTCTTTCATTTTAACTATTTCAGATGAGTACCAAGTTTTGTGTGCATTATGATTTTGTATATACTATAAACTTGTCTATCTTCCTGAAGTGAACAGTTGGCAGGAATGAGTGAAACTGTGATAATGTATATCGGGCCCAACTCTACGATTTAGGAATTATGCCAGTACTTGATAAATTTTGTTTTTGTTGGTATTATTCCATTTTAGCTATCAGTAGATGTGTACCAAATTTTGTGTGCTTATTCTTTGTATACACTATAAACAGAGACAAAATTTGTCTATCTTCCTGAAGTGAAAAGTGGGCAGGAATAAGTGAAGTTGGGATAATGTATATCTGGCCCAACTATACATGTATGTATATCTACATTTCAAGGATTATTGCAGTTCTTAATAGTGTTGTTGTATTTTCCTTCTTCCATTTTAATTATCAGGCCTCTGAGTAGATGTGTACCAAGTTTTGTGTGCCTTATGCTGAAGGCCTGCATGTATGCACAAAGTGGTCATGTGATTTGATATTAGCCTTGATGCCAAGAGCTACTTGTATAGGAGGGAAATATGCATTAAAATCCTGAACTCTGTGACATGTTGAAAATGTCAAAATCACCATTATTCAATACAAACTGGCATACAGTTTGTGTTTACTGTACAACATACTTTCTATCAGTGTATAAATCAATATTCTTTGAAGTTACATGAATTCTATGAGAAAGATGTAGCGATAAAGGAATGTTTCCAACTTCAAGAAGAAAATCTGATCACTGTTATTCGAATCAGATGATCTTATAGTTTGTAAGTTCACAGCTTTGTATTTATATGATATGCAAAGAATATCAAATTAACTGAAATGGAAATGTCATTACATCTGGAATATGTTCATTATACAATCAAGTCTGTGTATACTATGTTTATGTGTACAGAGTATGTGCCAAAGATTAAAGTATTTTTGTATTTCTTATTCCGAGTCTGAATTCATGATTTATTTGTAAGGTTTGAATCCAGAAAGAGGGGAAGGTGGGGAGGCAGGAAAAGATGGAAGAGGAGGGAGGGAGATGATGGTGCATGGGAGTAGAGATGGAGGGAGGAAAGAGAAGAAAGAGCATGAGGGAGGAAAGGGAGAAAAGACGGAGGGAGGGAGGGAGAGAGAGAGATGAGGGTGCATGGGAGTGGAGGATAAAGGGAGGGAAGGGAGAGAGAGTTGAGGGTGCATGGGAGTGGAGGATAAAGGGAGGGAAGGGAGAGAGAGGTGAGGGTGCATGTGAGTGGAGATTAAGGCAGGAAAGAGAAGAAAGAGAATGAGGGAGGGAAATGGGGAAGAGACGGAGGGAGGAAGGGAGAGAGAGAGATGAGGGTGCATGGGAGTGGAGGATGAAGAAAGGGAGAGAGAGATGAGGGTGCATGTGAGTGGAGATGGAGGCAGGAAAGATCATGAGGGAGGAAAGGGAGAAGAGACGGAGGGAGGGAGAGAGAGAGAGTTGAGGGTGCATGTGAGTGGAGGATAAAGGGAGGGAATGGAGAGAGAGATGAGGGTGCATGTCAGTGGAGATGGAGGCAGGAAAGAGAGAAGAGACGGAGGGAGGAGAGGATCAAGGGAGGAAGGGAGAGTTGAGGGTGCATGATGGGAATGGAGGAAAGGGAGAGAGAGGGTTGAGGGTATATGTGAGTGGAGATGGAGGCAGGAAAGAGAATAAAGAGCATGTGGGAGGTAAGGGAGAAGAGACGGAGGAAGGGGAGCATCAAGGGAAAGAGAGTTGAGGGTGCATGGAAATGGATTTCATTATATCTGGAATATGTTCATACCAATCATGTTTGTGTATACCATGTTTATGTGTACAGAGTATGTGCCAAAGATTAAAGTATAATTGTATTTCTTATTCCGAGTCTGAATTTATGATTTATTTGTAAGGTTTGAATCCAAAAAGAGGGGAAGTAGGGAGGAAGGGAGGCAGATAATGGAGGGGAGAGAGGGAGATGAGAGTGCATGGGGGTGGAGATGGAGGTAGGAAAGAGAAGAAAGAGCATGAGGGAGGGAGAGAGAGAGAGTGGAGGGTACATGGGAGTGGAGGATAAAGGGAGAGAAGGGAAAGAGAGATGAGGGTGCATGTGAGTGGAGATGGAGGCAGGAAAGAGAGAATAGACGGAGGGAGGAGAGGGAGAGAGAGAGAGTTGAGGGTGCATGGGAGTGGAGGATAAAGGGAGGGAAGGGAGAAAGAGATGAGGGTGCATGTGAGTGGAGATGGAGGCAGGAAAGAGAGAAGAGACGGAGGGAGGAGAGGATCAAGGGAGGAAGGGAGAGTTGAGGGTGCATGTGAATGGAGATGGAGGCAGGAAAGAGAACAAAGATCATGAAGGAGGAGAGGGAGAAGAGACAGAGGGAAGGGAGAGAGAGAGATGAGAGTGCATGTGAGTGGAGATGGAGACAGGAAAGAGAAGAAAGAGCATGATGGAGGAAAGGGAGAAGAGGCGGAGGGAGGGAGAGAGAGAGAGAGTGGAGGGTACATGGGAGTGGAGGATAAAGGGAGGGAAGGGAAAGAGAGATGAGGGTGCATGTGAGTGGAGATGGAGACAGGAAAGAGAAGAAAGAGCATGGTGGAGGAAAGGGAGAAGAGGCGGAGGGAGGGAGAGAGAGAGAGAGAGAGAGTGGAGGGTACATGGGAGTGGAGGATAAAGGGAGGGAAAGGAAAGAGAGATGAGGGTGCATGTGAGTGGAGATGGAGGCAGGAAAGAGAGAATAGACGGAGGGAGGAGAGGGAGAAGAGACGGAGGGAGAGAGAGAGAGAGAGTTGAGGATGCATGGGAGTGGAGGATAAAGGGAGGGAAGGGAGAAAGAGATGAGGGTGCATGTGAGTGGAGATGGAGGCAGGAAAGAGAGAAGAGACGGAGGGAGGAGAGGATCAAGGGAGGAAGGGAGAGTTGAGGGTGCATATGAAGTGAGATGGAGGCAGGAAAGAGAACAAAGATCATGAGGGAGGAGAGGGAGAAGAGACAGAGGGAAGGGAGAGAGAGAGAGATGAGGGTGCATGTGAGTGGAGATGGAGGCAGGAAAGAGAGAATAGACGGAGGGAGGAGAGGGAGAAGAGACGGAGGGAGGGAGAGAGAGAGAGAGAGAGTTGAGGGTGCATGGGAGTGGAGGATAAAGGGAGGGAAGGGAGAGAGAGATGAGGGTGCATGTGAGTGGAGATGGAGGCAGGAAAGAGAGAATCAACGGAGGGAGGAGAGGGAGAAGAGACGGAGGGAGGGAAGGGAGAGAGAGATGAGGGTGCATGTGAGTGGGACAACGTGTCTGACACGGCCGGTTGTAGCAACTACTCCGATGATCAAGATTACATTGATCTTGATCTAAGGAGACATGAAC